CAGCTATTTATTATTTATGCTCCCTGCCCACTTCCAAAAGTTGGAGTCAGCTTCTTGGAAAGCTGTGATGTTAAAGGAATAGTGAAGAATCAGAGGCACAAAGCTGTGGAGGTGGCAGAGGGCCCGGCAAGACTAGGGGGTGGGATCGTCCGCCAGCTCCTGCTGAGAACTGGGCACTAATGGTGTCACAGAGCCCCGGTGAAGTCACCCAGTTCCTGGGAGGCCCGGCTATTCGCAGGTTCCGGCTTTAGTGAGTGTTCACAAGGTGCTGTGCTGAAGTGAAAGTCAGTCCTTTCCTCCTTAGGCCCTGGGGAGTCCCCACGATGTCGCAGGCTCCGGTTCCTGCCCAGCGTTCAGTTATCTGGAACTGTCCCCTCAGCAAGCCTTTGCTTTCCAGCCCACAGGTCCCTGTGAAGTAATGGAAAGAGTGCCGGGCTTGGTGTCAGAGAGACATGGGGCATCGAGTCTGTTCCACCTGGGGCTGTGACTCGGCCACGGGGTGTACCGCTGAGCAGCAGCTTCCTCGCATCTGAATCTGAGCGGGGGGTGGCTTCAGCCTAGCGTCCATTCCCGCATCTCCCACCAACAGCACCTGATGCCCTTGGGGAGTTGCCCTTCCTCACCGTATGGTTAAGATGGGGCTGACCCTATCCCCCAGGCTCCAGGATGGGTCTGGGACCCCAGCCTTGCCCTTCTCCCCTTAGCTCCTGGCCACAGCGACTGATATCAGGAATTAGCTACATGACTCAAGCCAGAGCAAAGAGAGGCAGGCCTGGGACCTTTGTTGGAACTGTTGGGAAAGTGGCAGGGAGTGGAGGGAGGTGCCCCCCTCTTGGGGCAGCTAAGCTGGTGTTTCTGGTGGCCATCTTACTACCATGAGCAGGCCCTGCCTGAGAATGTACCCAGCCCAGAAGAGAGCAGATAGCATGAGACGCTGACTCCTGATGACATTGTTTGAGCATCATGATCCAGCCATGCCTGAAGCTGGTACACTCTAGAGTCGTCAGTGTCTTAAGCTTGAGTTAGATCATTTATATAACTGTTAATCCAGAGAATCCTTATTTCCCATCTCTTATTGAGACTCCTTTGTAAGCATGAGAAATTTTGAGCAATTTACATCAAATATTAAATGCTGCTTCTTACCTGTGGACTCAGTCATGAACTTTTTTTCATTAGAAAGGTATTTCATTAGAAGAAAAAATCTCATTCCTGTTCTTGCTCTCCACCATTTTTTCCTTAAAATTGATAATAATGAGGGGCCAGCCCTGTGGCCTAGTGATTAAGTTCGGTGTGCTCCACTTTGGTTGCCTGGGTTCGGTTCCCCGGGCACGGACCTACACCACTTGTCAGCAGCCATGCTGTGGCGGCAGCCCACATACAAAGTAGAGGAAGAGTGGCACAGACGTTAGCTCAGGGCAAATCTTCCTCGACAACAACAACAAATAATAATAATGAAATAAAATACAAGCCTGTTGTTTTGTGAACAAAAAATTCATCAAATATTTATTGAGTGCGTTTGTTAAAAGTATAACAAATGTTTATGTGACTTACTGTGTGCCGGGCACTGTTCAAAGCCCTTTACATATATTACTTTGTCAACTCCTTACATTGTTATCCCCATTTTACAGATGAGGCATAAAGAGGTGGGTTAAGTCACTTGCCCAAGATCAAGTTCCAGGCCCAGGATCGAGCCTGCCCATCCTTCAAGGTCTTTCCTAAAGAGCTCCTTCTCGGGAAAGCCTTCTCTGGTCTCTCCAACAGGAAGTGCCCCCTGCCCGCTGCAGATGTCCCCACAGAGGCAGAAGGCCATTACCCTCCTGCCCTGCCCTCCCAGTCGATGTGCTGGGCGTGTCCCACACCCCGTTGGGTTGTCAACTTGTCCCAGCTGAGGCTTAGCTCCCCCGCAGGCCCATCCACAGTTGAGAGTGGGAAGTCGATAGCCAGCCTCAGCCCCCCAGCAGCCACCTGGCCTCTTTCTCTGCTGTCCATCATCTGAAGCTCCCTCGAGGTGCCCTGAGGAGACCAGGCCTCAAACGAAGAGTGCACATAGTGAGGGGACCTAGAAAGAGGGTCCTCATCCTGGGCAGCTGGAGACCCCGGCATCTCTCCAACCCCAAGAGGTGTGGGAAGGAATTGGGAAGAAATTGGGACAGCTAGGATGCATCAGTGCCTCCTAGCTTCTCCCAGACCAGCCGTGTGACCATCCCCTTCCCGTGCCTCAGTTTCCTAGCTGGTAAAATGAAGAGGCTGGTTAGGCCCCCGGGAACTCATTCCTGTGGGAATGAGTAAAGCAGAATTTTCTTTACTCATCCAAGAAGCTTTTTGGGTTCCTGGCAAGCTGCCTGCTGGACTTGCATTCGTTTATTCATTAGTTGAGCACCTATTATGTGGAGGCAGTGCTTGGGGCCTTGGGGATACTTCAGAGAGTAAGACCGGCAACAGTCCTGCTGCCCAGGAGCTCAGTCTGCAGCTCTGGCTTTGGGAGACCTCTGAGCCTTCACCACCGGGGCTGCAGGCTTTGAACTTCTGGACCAGGCCTCCCTCATTGGGTGTGGAGAAGGACTGAGAGCTTGGAGGAGAGAGGTGTGTCCTCCCTCCAGCTCTCCCGGCTCCCGCAGGGCAACCTAGCCGCTCTGAGCATTAGTTTCTTTGCCTTCTAAGTGAGAGGTTGGACTGGATGGCCCTGAAGCCTGCCCTGCCAGCCTGGGAGGGCATCAACCTCTGCGGGGAAGCCTGACACAGCCATTCATGGTTAAACGTTACCCACTCCGTGTCCCTCCCTGCCATTCCTCAGGGAGATCAAGCCATAAACGCTTCCGTCTTCCTCCAGGGCTACAGCCTCCTGGGAGGGGCCACAGGCACACTTGCTGGCTGTCTCTCTTCCACCCGAAGCCAGGGTCTTGAGAGGGGATGACTGGGGGGTTCAGGTCTGGGGCTTGGGGTGGAGTGGGGGACACTTGGGCCCTAGCCACTCCCCCCACCAGATGTTTTTTCTTGGTTATGTCATGCACTTGGCTCCCCTGGATCCTTCCCTGGGGAGTTCATGGACTGGCTTAATGAGCCCCTCAGGTGCCCGCCTCAGGCAAGAGCCCCAGCCCTCCTGGTTTCTGGCAAACAAAAATAATTCAGAGAAATTGGGGGTGCCTCTCTGCATGGGGTGCCCCACTTCAGCCTCTGTTCCCAGGCCCCTCACAAGCAAGGAGGGGTTATCATGCCCGGTCCCACCCACTCAAGCCTTTTAAACTATGAGCCTGCGTTAATCTTGCATTTCCACAAATCTCAGGAATGGGAATGGATTCTAGCTGGATAGTACTTTACAATAATGTATGCAAAGTGCTTTCTTCTCATCGTTCTTTTTTATCTTCAAAACAACTTTGTAAATTAGATATGATTTGTCACCTCAAGGCAATAGACCTGGCAAATAGAGTGCCAGGAGTCAGTCAAGTCTTCTGACTCTAAAGCCCAAACTGGTATGATGCCCAGCTCTAGGCTTAGCAAGAAACTGACAGTCTCCATGCCCTGCACATGACAGACATCACTAATCAATCATAGCATGGCAGACATTGTTAATCAATTGCAGTGCTCTTTTCTAATAAGCTCAGAGGCAGCTGTGAATTCAACACAGTATTCCAAGACACGATTACCTATCAGAAGATCAAATCCACAGTATCTGCCATTCCTGTGATCCCACGCCATCAGTCTTGAGCCCTCAGGACTCAGGCACAACCACCAGATGCTCGCACCAGACCACAGGAATGCATTGCACATCAGTTGCCACACGGTTCTTGGAGAGGGGCTATTGGCTCCTCCATCCCCCAAACAGATGTCCCTCCCCAGCATGGTCTCTCTCAGAGATACAAGCACCGTGCAGGTTTGCCTGGGGCTGTGGGGTTCTCCAGGTCTTTAATAGAAGTTTTTATTATGAAACACTTCAGGTATACCCCAAAGTGCAGATACTAATGTCATCACAGAGAACTGTGTTCCCACAGTTTCAGCAACGAAACACCACAGACATAACTGAAGTCCCTGTGTGTCACCCTCAGCCCCCCACTGAGGCCACCACTCTCCGAATTTTGTGTTTCTCATTGCTATGCATATTTTTATACTTTTATTACATATTTACAAATCCATATTATTAAACCCTACAGAAGTTCTGTTCAGATCTTGTGGCAGCTTGTTATTTTCATACAATTGGATGTCGTGGACTTGTAGGTGCGATGCCTAGGTGCAGCTTTGAATCTTCCATCATGTCATACGTTGCGAATATCTGTTCAGCCTTTCCTCTGCACCAGGCATGGTTTCAGGTGTCGTACCTGCCTTAACTCATCTGATATTCATAGCAAAATTCTTTTTATCCCCACTTTACAGATTTGGAAACACAGGCACAGAAGGGTGAAATTATGTACCCAAGTCACATAGCTTGGAAGCCGCGCTCCTAATTGGTGAACGTCACTCTCTATTGCTGCGTGGTCTGTTGAATGAAAACACAGTCATTTAACCATCTGTCCTCCTATTTTAAGGCCATTGCTTATCTTTGCAGACATGCCTCAACATTGGTCTCAGAGGGTTTGGGGGTGGTTGTATTATCTTGCTGGTTCCTTCCTACATCAAGTCTGTGAGGGGATATTTGTATCATCCCTTCACACCCTTTCCAGATGAGGAACCTAAGGCTCAGAGAGGGTGAATCAGCTTCTCAAAGCTGCACAGCTCCAATGTGCCAGAGGTGGGCTGTGAATCTGGACTCCTCCAATTCCACAGCCTAGAGGTGCTCTCATATCCCACATGAGCCCTCAGTTCCCCTTGACTTCTCCTCTTGGCTCTGTCCCTGGCAGCCTGCCCTCCCTCCCCCAGAACACCCTCCCCACACCTGGCCTTCCGTCTCCCCTCCTCTGGCCACCCTCCACTGCCCTCCTCCCAGAGAAGGGGCCCAACCGGAAGGCCAGTTCATGTTAGGAAATTCCAGCCACGTGAGCCAACCCGAGCCAGGGATTCTGAGCAGCCGGTTGCTTTAGGAGAAACTGAAACTTGGCTTGCTGGGGGCGGGGTGGTCACTGGTGATTTAAAGAGCTGCCACTTCCTTGGGCCCCCAGAGGGCATTGGGAGGTCACAGCGCCGAGGAACACCTTGGATGTGAGCCTCTGCACCCCTGGCCAAGCCATGCGCCTCTGCGGGGAGGATGAGCTGCAGACTGGGACAGTGAGTACAGGGACCAGGGACAGGGATGAGAAGGGGAATGTGCCCGAGGGTCCCCAGTGCCCAGGCGGGGAGGGATGTGGTCAGAGCCCCTAGTCCCAGCTCTGTGTACATGAGCTGTGTACTGTGGGCTCCACACACCCCTTCTCTGGGCCTCACTTTCCCCAGGGGATTGGAATGAGGGCTTTCCAGGTCTCATATTGCAGATCCCAGCCTCCAGCTTAGAACCTGGCCTCTGAATACTGCTCTCTCCTAACCCACCTGTCCTCCCCTCACTGCCCTTATGGCCGTCTCCCTCTCCAAATTCTCCAGCATGTTTCCCCTTGGAGGCCCTGCCCCTCTCCCAGGACCCAGGCACGGAAGCCACCCCTCTTCTTTCACTGCCGATCTTGCCCCGAGGTTCCAGTCACCTGGAATGGGCCTGCTGTGGCCATGAACCTAGGAGCATAGCGACCTCAGTCAGGGTCACAGGTGTCAACTTTGAGTCCACTGTCCTGTCAAAAGGATGCTCGATTCATTCATTCGAGGTTGCTCTCCCCCTAGAATGTGAGCAATACAAAGGCGGGGAGTTTGCCTGTTTTGTTCGCTGCTGTGTCCCCTCAGTCAGTGCCGGGCACACAGTAGGTGCTCAATAAATATTTGTTGAGGACATGAAGATCAGCTTTGGGCCTGAGCTGGGCATGGGATGTGGAGCTGAATCAGACCTCAGCCCTGCCCTCTCAGATGGAGCTTGGGGCTAGGGAAATAGTAGCAACCAGAATAGCAGGAGCTGACCTCTATTAACCCCTGGCTCGTGGCTGGCCCTGGGCTGCCTGCTTTATGGGCTGTGAGGAAGGCACAGGTGCCTCCATTATACGGATGAGGTGCCTCAGCTCAGAGAAGTGAGTGACTTGCCCAGAATGACAGGGCCGGTAAGGAGAGCGTGGGTGTGAAGTCAGTCCTGTCTGGGTTCAAATATCGGCTCCCAGCTTCCTCAATTGTCCTCCCCCAACATGAGCTGTGAGCAGGACATGTGGGTGAGGCTGGCTTTCCAACCAGGTGTGCTGTGTTGGCAGCGATGGGGTGTGTGGGCCCCATGGGGTGTGTGGGCGCCAGGGGACGGGGAGCCAGAAGGGCGTGGCTTTACAGACAGCCAGGAGGGAGGGCACAAGCCCCTGCCTGGACCCTGAGCTCCCTCTCCGCCCTCCAGGACCCCAAGGAGCATCAGAGGCAGCTGAAGAAGAAACAGAAGAACCGGGCGGCTGCCCAGCGCAGCCGGCAGAAGCACACGGACAAGGCAGACGCCCTGCACCAGGTGGGGGACGCCTCTCTTCTTGGCCCTGACTCCACTCACCTGGCCTGGCCACCTCTTCTCCATCCTCCTATGAGCAGTTCCCGCTACACTGCTGTGTGTTCCCAGGCCACCTGAGTTTGGGAGGAGGGAAGGGCTCTGCGACTGAGATTTGGAAATTCCTGGGTGTTGAGTGTAAATTGTGTGCCAAATACATGCTGGGCTTCAGAGACACAAAGGTGCCTCCGCAGCCAGCTCTGCCCTCAAGGTGTCCCCAGTCCAGGGGGAGGAGACAGGAGGTGCAGGGAAACGGGGAGAACCCAGCACCTGACCAGCTCAGACACTCGTTAAAATGCAGATCCCTGCCCCTTCCCCCTCCCTGCCTGTCAGGGTCCTGATGTGGGTGGCCAGGACCACACTGTGACACACTCTAGTTCCGGGTGAAGATGGGCTGGCTTTAGAGTCATAGCTGTGGCACTCATTAGCTACAAGTCACTTCCTTCACTGAGTTTCACTGTCCTCATCCAAAAATGGGGACGATATCCAGGCCCACAGGCAGGATTGTGGAGACTAAAGGAGGCAAAGGAACCCGGTAGGGCAGGGGAGGGCTCCACCTGCACTTGCTTCTTGACCTGGCATGGCAACTTGACCTTGGATGGTAACCTGACCCTTGGAGCGTCCCTTCTTCCTCTGTGCAGATAGAAAGTGTACCACCGGTTTGTCCCAGCAGGAGAATTAAGAGCTGGCCTCAGACCTGGCCCTTGGGGGATTGCATACATGTTAGTCCTTAGAGTGATGAGTGAGAGTCACAGTGCTCTGCACCCTAAGGCCCTGTGCTCTCTGCAACCATCGCCCTCACCTGTCTGCCCTCCTCTCCTGACATCCTGAGCTCTGTTCTCCCTGTTGCTTCACTGACCAAGTGCATCCAGCCTAAGGGGCTCTGCCCTGGCTATTCCCTCAGCCCTCAGACAGTGGTCCAGCTAGACCATCACTTCTTTCCGGTTGTTTGGCTTAAATGTCACTGCCTCAGAAGGGCCTCTCTAAACCATCTGATCTAAAGAGACCTCTTATTGCTACTCGGCTTTATTTTTCTTGTTAGCACTAACCTGTTACATGTTTAGATGTTGTTCATTGCTTATCTCCCTTACCAGACTGTAAGCACCACGATGGCAGGGAACTCTTCTGTTCCCTGCTGTTTCCCCATCACCTGGAACAGTGCCTGACAAATAGGAGACACTCAGTAATTCCCTGGGGAGCGAACGATAGAGTTAGAATAAAGTGCTCTGGGAACGCATTGGTGGGGGCAACACACAGGTAGTAGCATCAAAGTGATACAGAGATGAAGTCTGAGCTGGTCTTGAGGGATGAATAGGAGTTTTCCAAATGGACGAAGGTAAGAAAAGGCATTGCAGGCAAATGAAATAGCGCTGGCACGGTGTGAGAGAGCAGCACCCTGTAGATTTCATGAGAGCGAGGACTGATGCCCAGGATGGTGCCTGCCTGGCAGGGGGAGAAATTTCATGCATTTGTTTAGTCATTTCCTCCAGAAATGCCTATTGAGTGTCTCTTGTGTGATGGGCACAGTTCTAAGCATTGAAGACACAGCTGTGAACACAGCAGACCAAAACCCACCCACCCACCCCTGCTCCCCAGGGCTCATATTCTCATGGAGGAGCCAGGCAGACGAATGAATGAATGAATGAACGAATGAGTGAGTGAGTGACTCAGTTTCTGAAGGTGACTTGAAGCTTTTGGAGAATTTAGGTGAAGGGTGACCTAATGACATGTTGTTGTTTGTTTTTGTGTGTGTGTGAGGAAGATCAGCCCTGAGCTAACATCCATGCTAATCTTCCTCTTTTTTTTTGCTGAGGAAGACTGGCTCTGAGCTAACATCTATTGCCAATCCTCCTCCTTTTTTTTTCCTCAAAGCCCCAGTAGATAGTTGTGTGTCATAGTTGCACATCCTTCTAGTTGCTGTATGTGGGACGTGGCCTCAGCATGGCCGGAGAAACGGTGCGTCGATGCGCGCCCGGGATCTGAACCTGGGCCACCAGTAGCGGAGCGCGCGCACTCAACCGCTAAGCCACGGGCCCGGCCCCTAGTGACATGTTTTAAAAACATCATTCCACGTGCAGAGACCAGCCTGGGAGTGGGGCTGCTGGTGGCTTTGAGGCCTGTTAGAACTTTGAGTCCATGGCCTGAGCAACATTTTTATGTCATTCAGCCTGATGAGTTGTGGAAATAAAGTTCTTTCTGCATTTTCCACCATTGTTGTCATCATCAATGGTTGTTTAGAACTGCACGTTGATGATTGTCCTGGTGGGTTCTCAGAACCCAGTGTTCAGCAGAACAGAACCTAACAAATGCTGATTCAGGGATGCTGAATAGAACACAGCCATGCTGCCAACTTGTAAAACAGTACCCCAGACTCCTCCCACAGGGCCTCGGTGGGCGAGCTCTGGGCGCTGGGGAGGTCTGGCAGCGGCTCTAGGCAGCTTAGAGGTGTCCAGGACAGAAGGATGTCTAAGTTGCCATGAGAATGCAACATCAGGATTAGCCCCCGGAAGAGGGTGCTGGAAGAGTGCCCAGGCAGGGGAGACAGGAATTGTGGCGAGGAAGCAGAGTCCATCTGTGGGACAGGAAGTGAGAGGGAGCAGCAGATATTGGAGAGATAACGCTGGAGGTGTGAGCTGGGGCTGCCACACACAGGGAGTCGTGCTGTGCTGTTTGGTTATTGACACAGTTGCCGAATGGCTCCTTTGGGCCAAGAGAATGAGGTGGTTTTGGGGGGCACCCCAGTTAGGAGGCTGGTGGAGCTCCCAGGCGAGTGGAGATCGTAGGCTGGCAGAGACTGGCTGGCTCAGAGAATTGGCAGTGAAAAAGGAGAGCAGGCAGATCTGCGCCCCATTAGGAGGTAGAATGGGGGAGACTTGCTGGTGATAGTCGAGCTGGCCAGAGAGTCACCAAGGGGCCCCAGCTTGGACATGCGCATGGTGATAGTATCTTCACTCCTAAGTTGAGGCCCCTGGGGGTGGGGAACAGGACTCATGCTGGGCCCCTGATGCTGGCTGACACCCCCTCCCTGCCCGTGTCTGCGTCTCCCTCCAGCAGCACGAGTCACTGGAGAAACACAACCATGCCCTGCGGAAGGAGATCCAGGCTCTGCGAGCTGAGCTGGCGTGGTGGAGTCGGACCCTGTGTGTGCACGAGCGTCTGTGCCCAATGGACTGTGTCTCCTGCTTGGCTCCCATGCCCCCCGGCTGCTGGACTCAGGCAGAGCAGCCCCCAGGCCCTGTGCCCCACGGACAGCATGGCTGCCTGGAGCAGTCAGGCCTGTTCCAGACCCCACTTTCCTCTCCCTCTGCTCAGCAACTCTCTCCAGATCCCCAGCCTCATGGTTCCCCCGGCCCCCTCCTGTCCCCTCTGCCCTCGCTGTCCCTTGGCTCCACTGCAGTCACTGCGTCTTCCGTCCAGCTGTCCTCCAGCCCTGTTGAATCTGCCTCGCTCACTGGCTCCAGCCTGCTGAGACCTTCCTCCAAGCTCAATGCCCTCCTGCTCAGCCCCCCAACCCAAACTGCCCCTCCACAGCCCCTTGGGCTGGAGCACCCCACCAGGAGGAAGCTGGAGTCCTCACCCCACAGCCCCTTGTCTGCTCTGGGGCTGACCTGTCTGCAGGATAGGGAGCACAAGCCTGTTTTCTCAGTAGCAGATCTGCAAGGGTTGGATGTGGATCCCAGCCCCCACCCCCTCCTGGCCTTCCCCCTGCTCTCCTCTGCTCAAGTTCACTTCTAACCTGGCCCTGGAGCTGGGCTGGCCCCTTCCTTGGGCTCAGGAAGCAGCCTCAGCACACGGGCATCTCTTCCCTTGCCATTGGAGGCTGTCCTTGGCTGACCAGCTGGCCCAGGATTTCACCAGGGAAAGGAAGCCATCACTGCATGCCCACCTCTCTGCCAGGCCCTGTCACTGCTACTATCTTATTTCAGCCTCAGGGGCATCCTGAAAAATCCAGATTATCACTCCACTTTTTCAGATAAGGAGACAGAGGCTTGGAGAAGCCAAGTGACTTGTCCAAGTTCACACAGCCTTTCTTGGGATCTGAAACACCACCATCTGTTGTCTTTCTCCTGGTGGGATCATGGCCCAGGCACCCTAGGGGTTGAAGTCCTAGAAACTGAGGACTGGTGTGAGGAGGTTTAAGTGCTGGGAGCAGGGAGGGGCTGTCGCTTCTGATTTGTGATTCCCAGGGCCACAGAGCCCTGCTGTTCCTGAAACCTCGCCCTAGCTGGGGCCGCTCCAGAGTCCAAGCCTGGGGGCCGGGTGAGGCCAAGCAGGAGCCCAGAAGTGGACTCTTTCTTCCCCAGCAGTGTTTTCAGTACCAAGGAGCTGAACCTGTGGGTTGAAATTGGTGAGAAGCCTGGAATAGTCCTCCTGGGATGTCTACAGAAGGGGTACCTGTAGCCATACCAAGACTTCAGGGACATTCTGCAGGGTCAGCTCTCCAGGATATTCCCAAATAGCACCCTGCCTCCCTCCTCCCACCAAGCCATGAGGGTCCTGAGAACCATTCATGTCATGCACGAAAGGCCTAAGGAAAGACCAAGAGAAGGGTCAGGTGCAAGGTTATGTTTAAGCAAGTGCTGGACCTGAACCTGGCGGCAGGGAGACCTGTGTCTTCTCTGGGACCACCTCCATCCCTGGGCAGCCCCTGGCCCCCATTGCCCTCGGCTTCTATGAGCAGCGCCCCTCATTGCTCTTTGGTTCGATGGCAGCTGGAAGATCAGGGGCCGGGACCAGGTGGAAACTCAGCTGCAGTGTCTGCTTCAAGGCAGGTTCTTGTTTCAGACCCAGGACAAGCACTGTAAGGGGCCTGCGACGAGAAACTCCAGCTCTTCGCCCAGATTTTCAAACACATGTAAGCGGACACTATGCAAGTGTTTGACACACTCCAGGATGCTGAGCACAAGTCTTGGCACATATGGTAAATAAATTAAAGCGTTTTCCAATTCTTTTTGCTTTGGCCAGTTGTTTAAAGCTCTGGTTGTACTGTATACTGTTGAATCCAAAGGGCCTTTGAAAGAGGAGGGAATAGTCTAGAATCTTAGAAGTGGGCAATCCCTCGTGGACCTCCTAATCTAACTCCCCCTCCCATATTGCAGATGAGGAAACTGAGGCCCAGAGATGGGATGGACTTGCCTAGGGTCACACAGCAAGAGTAGGTGTGATGGTTGCAAGATTGTCGATGGAGGCCGAGCTGGGGTCACCACAGGTTCAGGGAGAGGAAGGAAGTAGCAGGAGGGAAGCCAAGATGCTGTTTATTGGAAGAAAGCTGGAGTCTGGGACAAGAGTTGATATATGCACCATGGACCAGGACTTGATGGGGGAATGAGGATACCATGGTCTGGCTTATGTCTATATACCCTAAAATATGTCAGGCACTGTGCTGTGTTTTACTTGGGTTAACTCAATGATGCCTCTAATAACTCTGTGAAGTGGGTATGGTTATTATCCCCACTATTCAAAAGGGGAAACTGAGGCCTGGAGTGTTAAGTAACAAGCCCAAGGTCACATAGCTAGGAGATAGTATAGACTTGATGCAACATGAGCACTTAACCAGTCCTGCCTTCTGTCTTCCCCATACTATCCCTGTAGGCCCTGCATGGAGGGGCCGACACATGTTGATAGACATGACCCAAGAAGGTAAAACCCTACCTTAAGCTTAAAAATAATAAGAGAGTGACTAAATTGATGTTGGTATGCTCCTATGACACACTACCAAAGAAGTGTAAGAACAAAGGAAGCTTTGAAGAATATTTAATGAGGTGAGAAAATGCTCACAACATATTAAGCAGAAAAAATAGAATGTGCAGGTGCTGCTATAATTTGACATTATGTTTGTTTAAAAATACAAACAGAATCAAAGGAGTGAGAGGAGTTGTAGATTCTTGAGGAGGGAAATGAGCTCATATCTGTGAATCCTCAAATTTGTAAACACAGCTACCACTATAGCATAAGCCTTCCTCGTGGTTGAATATATCCTAGAAATCTATATCTGGGTGTATCTATTGCTGCATAACAAATTACTCCAAAATGTAATGGCTTAAACAATGAACATTTATTATCTCACAGTTTTTGTGGGGCAGGAATCTGGGCGTGGCTTAGCTGGGTGGCTCTGGCTCAGGTTCTCTCATAGCTCCAGCCAAAGTGTTGGCCAGGGCTGCAGTCATCTGAAGGCTCGACTGGGGAGGATCTGCCTGGAGGCTCATTCATGTGGTTGTCTGGAGGCCTCAGAAGGTCCACTTCCAAGCCTACTCGCAAGGTTCTGGCAGGATTCAGTTCCTTGAGGACTGTTGGACTGAGGACCTCAGTTCTTACAGGGTGTTGGCTGGAGATATTAGTTCCTTGCCACATGGACCTCTCCCTCAGGCTGTTTGACATGCCAGCAGGCATCCTTTAGAGCAAGCAAGCTAGAGAGTGAGGAATGGTGAGCAACACAGAATCCACGGTCTTTTTGTAACCTAATTTCATAAATAACATCCTGTCACTTTTACTGTATTCTCTTCAGTAGAGGCAAGTCACTAGATCCAGCCTACACTCAAGAGGAGAGGATTACACAAGGGCATAAAAATCAGGAGGGGGGATCTATGGGGGACATTCATCTCGGAAGCTGCCTACCGTCCCGGGCGAGGAGCAGCACTTTCTTGGATCCCTTCTTTTTCATCACCAGCTCTAGCAGTTGGCTTTCTTTGGGGAGGCCATTTTTCAGAAGGACCCAATTTTGGCCCCTTGGCAGCAGTAGCCATGCCCCCAGCAGTGAGCAGAAAGGATATGGTGGGTTTGGGGCTGCAGCAAGGCCCCCGGCTAGAGACTCACAGCCTCACATTAGCCTTGCAGCAAGCAATGCAGACACTCCCTCCTCAGAATGACCTTTGAAGTGATGCACGGACGGTCAGTGCTGAAATAGCAAGTTCGTGCAGGCTAAGAGTTGTCTATGCTTTGAAAAGTAATCACTCACTGGAGGACTAAAGTTTAAACTCAATTTAAACTCCTTTAGCTCTTTTTTTCCTGGTATTCACCTCTGTAGTGGGTTGAATGTGGCTCTCTAGAAGATATGTCCACCCGGAACCTGTGAATGTGACATTATTTGGAATAAGGATCTTTGAAGATGTAATTAAGTTAAGGATCTCAAGAGGAGATCATCCTAGATTAACCAGGTGGGCCCTAAATCCTATGACCAATAAAAGGAGGTCACCAATAATCGGAAGAGAAGACACAGAGGAGAAGGCCATGTGAAGACAGAGGCAGAGATTTGGAGTCAGGCAGCCCCAAACCAAGGAACATCAGGAGCCACCGGAAGCTGGAAGAGGCAATGAAGGCTTCTCCCCTATGGCCTTCAGAAGGAGCCTGGAAGGAGGGAGAGCAGTGAGGAGGCTGTTGCAGTCATCCAGGTGAGCGACGGTTGTGCCATGACCAGGGTGGTAGCAGGGAGGTGGTAAGAAGAGGTCAGATTCAGGGTGTGCTTTATAGATAGAGCTACAGGAAGTGCTCATGGATTGGATATGGGGAAAGCAAGGAAGGAAGGATGATGCTGTGGTTTGGGGCATGAGCAACTGGTGAGCAAAGACCAAGAACGATTGGGAGAGGAGTGGTTTGGAGTGGGGGGTGGGGGAAGATCAGGAGTCCTGTTTTGGCCATCTTCAATGTGAGATGCCTATTTCTCATCCAAATTGATAGAAAAGAGTTTGAAGATCAGAGGAATAGTCAAGGCTAGGTATATAAAAGTGAAAGCCAGCCGTATAAAGATGGGTGGATGGACAATGAGGGCTGAGTGAGATGACCCATGAGGGCCTCCTCTTCTTGAGCCCCCAGAGTTCTCTCAGCCTGGCCCTCCTTCCCTCATCACTCCTGCACACCCAGAATCTGCCCCCATCCTCCCTCTTCAAATGCTTCTACCTCTAGGAAGCCTCCTGTGATCTTCCAACATGAAAACGACCCTCTTTTCCTCAGGCACCTCATCACACCTATGTGCCTGTTACCGGCATCTACCATTTCCCTTCTTGTGTGACTGTGCCTTCCTATCTTCTCATCTCCCTCAGTGGCAGAAACCAGTCTGGCACATCATGAGTACTTTGAAACAGCCCACAGATTGGGAGGCAGTAAAGCATGATGGTTAGAGAGCTTGAGCTCCAGTGCCAGAGAGGACTTGGTTCACATCCCAGCTCCACTACTTCCTGGCTCAACTTCTTCAAGCCTCACTTTCTCATTTGAAAAATGGGAATTAAAAAATGCATCCACCCGCAATTGACTCTATGTATATGTGTGTATGTGTATACGTATCCATATATATGTGAATATATATTATATATGTAATAGAAGAGCATATATTCACCAAAGGACATGAACGTTTATATCAGCAACATTCATAATGGTAGAAAATTGGAAACAACCCGAATGCCCCATCAACAGTCGAATGAATAAATTGTGGAATATTTTACACAAGGTAATGCTACACAGCAATGAGACGGGACAAACTACAACTGTGTGGAACAATATGAATAAATTTCACAAACATAATGTTGAGCTATAGAAACCAGACACAAAAGAGGAGAGAGTTTGTATGATCCATTTGTATAAAGTTTGAAAGTAGAAAAACCCTAATCTATGCTGTTAAAAGTCAAGGTAGTGGTGACAGTCAGAGGCTAGCACCTGGAAGGGGACCCAAGGGGCCTCCTGGGGTGCTGGTAATGTTCTGTTTCTTGATCTCTTTGATGGTTACATGAATGTAGTCACTGTATGAAAATTTTATTGAGCTGTATGTTTGTGATCTGTGCTGTTTTCTGTTATGCCTGATAACTTCAATAAAAAGAAGTGAATGTAAGGAGCATATCACAGTCCCTGGCATATGGTAAGTGCTCAACAAATGTTAGTTATTGGGAAGGAAGGAATGAATGAAAGAACCCATGCCTTGCCCCCAAGTGAAATCCATTAACAATCAGAACCATGGACAGATCAGAGTCTCCCCTCAAGGAAGGCTAGAGGAAAAGGGAGAGATCTCTGGTCTGGTACAGGGGACTTGAGGCAGGAGAGAATCTGAGACCTTTCCTCTTGGATTAGTGGTTCAGTGCCTTCTGGGGGGCATTCCTACATGCAGGAAGGAGACTGTTCCTAGGGGACCGTGGGTATCTGTGTGTGTGTTCATGCAGAATTTCATTCCATTTTAAAAGTCTGAAGATCTTTGTTTTTCCAAGCCAGTGAAGGCTGAAAT